TTCCTGAAAAAATAGCTCAAACATCCATTACCGTGGTGACCCCGACTCCAGGGGGATGTTACCTGTAGGAACCTAGTGGGAGTCAGAGAGCGTATTGCCCAAACAGCACAGTTAACAATGGATAAGTTTATCATGCAGATTTAAGTCCTCATCTTCTGTTCTGATAAGTTTCTAGGTAAGGACATCCTCCCTTCTTCCTGGTACAGGGAAGAAGATACCTTTACAGATGGAGATTTTCTTTTCAAATGTAAATGTCTCTCATAAAGCGTTACCAGAACTAAGAATGGGTTCAGCACGGACCCACCCAGACACAGGAGATGTCTATGGTAATGGCCTATTCTGGGGGCAGGCCTCCCATCCCAAACTCCTTTGGTCAGTTAGTGGGGGTGGGGGCCAAAACATCATTCAGGCAGAGACATAGTATGAGTTGGCAAATTCCAATCCCCCACAGTTACTAGCTGCTTAATCATCAATGGCTGTTTGCTGGTTTCAAAAGGGAAGCAGGAATTTTATTTCAGTCAGAGAATGAATATTCAAAAGGGAGAGGCGGGTATTCGCTTGTGCAGGCTCAGTTGGAAAATATGCTTCTGCATACAGTGCAGATTAAGGTATGAAGCTAAATCTCCTCCTGAACAGATCTTGGTATTAAAATTAAGGCAAGGGGGCCGGCCCAGTGGCATATCGGTTAAGTGCACGCGCCTCCGCTTCTGTGGCCCAGGGTTTGCAGGTTCGGATCCCAGGCGCGGACAGACACACCGCTTGTCAGGCCATGCTGTGGCGGTGTCCCATATAAAGTAGAGGAAGATGGGCACGGATGTTAGCCCAGGGCCAATCTTCCTCAGCAAAAAGAGGAGGATTGGCATCGGATGTTAGCTCAGGGCTAGTCTTTCTCACACACACAAAAAATTAAGGCAAGGTCACAGGCCTCACTTTTGTAGGGGGGCTTGGTTAGTTTCCGGGTGGTTGCTGGGTTTTTCTCCTTAACATAAAAACAGTTAAATGCTTCCAAACCCACCCTTGAGTTCCTCAGGGCACTAGTCCGTGACATTAATGGGTCGTTAAAAACAGGTACCCTAAGGATGCAGTGTCAGAACATTAAAGAGAAAGGACTTTAGGGGCCATTTAACCCCTGCAAAATGTGATACACCTGGGAGCTTGTTAGAAATGCAAAATACAGGGCCCCGCCCCAGACCAACTGAATCAAGAGCCTGAAGATAAACAAGATCCCCAGGTAATTTGAATGTGCTTTAAAACTTGAGTCCAAAGCCGTTGTTTTACAGATGAAAAAACTCAGACCCAGAGAGGTTAAGTGACTTGCTAAAGGTCACGCAATGAATTAGACTCAGCTGGGTTGAGCATCCAATTTTGACGCTCAAGTCCAGTGCTTTCTTCTATACCGGCTGCCTTCCTGCAAGGCCATATTTTGTTTGTCTCATTCTATGTATTGAATGAACTGGAACTTAATTCAGTTTATTTAAAAAACCTTTAAATTCTGTCCTTCACTAATTCAGATGGGACTTCCTTTATTTATCTGAGTGGGTGGCACTACTTTGCTTCTTAATTTTTTGGTGTGTTCATTAGATTTACTCAACAGTTACGTGAAGTAATCATTTTCCACCTGATGTAAGTTTCTGGAACTGAATGTATATAAATGCTGCCATCTTTATAAAGACAAGTATTCTATATGAGAAAAAAATCATTTTACCGTTTTATTGCTGATTTCATTAGTATGGTGTTTATATCTATTATTGCACTACACGCACACACCAGGGAGAATGTTCATCATTATATAGCTGATCACAGCTGGGTTTGTGGACTTGACCCAGGATCCATTATTTAAAAGGTGTTTCCAGGATTTGCATGTAATTATGACTTGATAATGTCCTTATGGTACTATTTTAAAATGTTATGTGTCAAAATGTTAAAATGGTTAAATATATTTACCCCGTATCAATGGACATTTAGGTATGGGGACTCATTCTCACTCAGCTCTGCCTGTTGCCCTTATAATCAGAAGCTTTTCTGGTTCATTTTCTCCGGGTTGTGAAACTCCATCTTATGCCAGAATTAGTGAGAGAATCTGGGCATCTAACTACTCCTTATACATATTTTCAACATTGAACTTTCAGGCCTATGCCTTATGCTTGCCTTCTGAGACACTCAGTGACCCCAATTCCTGAGTCTGTTGGGGTTGGCTTTTAGTTCTTCCTCTCTCAGGCAATTTCCATGCGTCCATCTCTTCCATATTCTGCAATATTGTCGACATCCTTTGTCTGCCATCATCTTCTCTCCCAGGGTTTATATATTTCTAGTCCTTGATGTCATTTTTTGAGGGAGGGGGCTTGTTAGAGAGTGTATTAAATCTGCAATGTTTAACTGGAAGTCTTTCATTTGTGATTTAAAGAAATCTTTATGTGTTTTTTGTTATAAGCTCTTTCTGATTTGTAATTTTATGTATTTCTACATGTTCTTTTTTTCCCCCTCACCAATCTTACTTGAGTTTGGAGTCTTAATGATACACTAACTTTGGGGAGAGTGTTTTGTTTGCCAATGAATTTGAATATATTTTCTAATTCTTTAACATCTTTTTATATTTATTTATTTATTTATTTTTTGTGAGGAAGATCGGCCCTGAGCTAACATCTGCCAATCCTCCTCTTTTTGCTGATGAAGACTGGCCCTGGGCTAACACCCGTGCCCATCTTCCTCCACTTTATATGGGACAGCGCCACAGCATGACCTGACAAGCGGTGTGTTGGTGCATGCCCGAATGTGAACCTTGGGCCGCGGAAGCGGAGCGTGTGCATTTAACCACTACGCCACCAGGCCGGCCCTAACATCGTTTTTTTTTTTTGTTTTTTTGTTTTTTTTGGTGAGGAAGATCAGCCGTGAGCTAACATCCATACCAATCCTCCTCTTTTTTTCTTTTTTGCTGAGGAAGACTGGCCCTGGTCTAACATCCATGCCCATCTTCCTCCACTTTATATGGGATGCCACCACAGCATGGCCTGACAAGCTGTGCGTCGGTGCGCGCCTGGGATCCAGAACCGGGCCGCCAGCAGCAGAGCGCGCGCACTTAACTGCTACTACGCCATGGGGCCGGTCCCGCTAACATCTTTTTAATCTTAATGAATTCCTAACCCCCCATAAACCTCTATTTTCTTTTTTCCTCAAATTTCTTGCATTGAAATTCTAGTTTTTTTCCCACCTCTCTGCCTGCTTTTCTTTCGCGCTCTCTCTCTTTTTTTTTTTTTTTTTGTGAGGAAGATTAGTCCTGAGCTAACATCTGTTGCCAATCCTCCTCTTTTTGCTGAGGAAGACTGGCCCTGGGCTGACATCTGTGCCCATTTTCCTCCACTTTATACGTGACACCGCCACAGCATGGCTTGACAAGTGGTGTGCTGGCCCATGCCCAGGATCTGAACCCTCGAACCCCTGGCTGCTGAAGTGGAGTGCTCGAACTTAACTGCTACGCCACTCGGCTGGGCCCTTCTTTCTCTCTTTTAAAGCATAAAACCATGCAAAACTCAAATTTTCTGGAGTAGATAAGTTTTCATATCTAGTATTAAACATTTCAATTTTGATATTCTCTTTGTCCCAAGAATTATGTAGGAGAATGTTCTGTAGTTTCCAAGTAGGTTTTCTTTTGGGGATGCTCGTCTCATGTTTTATTTTGTAGTTTTAATACATTATTACACGGTCAGATAGTATGACCTCTATCATATCTACATTTTTGAAATTTTTTGCATTTTTCTTTATGGTCTGGGATATAATAAATTTTGTAAATATTCCATGGTTAATTTGTTACTTCTTAGTGATAAGTAATGGTTTGTCTCATTTCTGTGTTATCTTTTGTTAAAAAAAAAAAAAAAGCAAGCGTGGTTAAGAGTATTTAGAAATCTCCCTGTCTCAGTTGGTTTCATGCTTGGAGCAGCCCGAGGACTAAGTCTTTATTACCTGGGTGGTAATGGGGCCAAGACTCAGATGGAATTCCATGCTGAAAGGTTCTCCTTACCGTGCCTTCCTGAAATTACAGACACCGAGAGAGCCACACAGTCTCCCACATAGCCTCGGGTAGAAATTCTTGTTTGATCTTGGGCCATATATCACCATTGGTAGATTTGGATGTTTCAGGAGTTTCAGCCCCAAACATTTTTGCTGTTTATCTAAGTAACTTGGATCTGGTCATTCCACTGGGACCTGGCTGTTGCCTCACTGACATTTTAAACACATTTTCCCTAAAAGGAAAATGGATAGGGTAATAGATAGGTTAATTCGTCCCCCCTCCATTTGCTTTTGGAGCTGTAGCAAGTAGGATTACAGCTTTCTTTATCGAGTCAGTCAATAAAAATGTATTGAATATTTATGTTGCTCCATAATGACATATAGGCAAATGACATAATCCCTGTCCTTGAGAATCTCATTCAGAATACCAAGCTGGGAAGACAGAGCTGGAATAGACTATAATGACAAATTAACATGGTTGATATGGGAATGTACAAGTATCGGGGAGCACAGAGGAAGATACACTCAATTTTCCTCCAGAATGGAGGCATGGGGAAGACCTCAGGGAGAGTGTGACATTTAAGCTGGGTCTTGAAATAGGAGTAGGTGATAGCTGGACAGAGAAGGAGGGATAGGCGTTCTATGTGAAGATAACGTCATGACTAAACATGAAGTATGACAGGATAGCATGTAAGGGAAAGAATAGTCGGCCTCCTGCTTAGAGAATACTGTGTGTAGTTGGGGTTTGGGAACAGTGAGGCTGGAGGAGATAGCCCAGAGTCAGACCGTTAAGAGCATTGATTGCCAGGTAGAGGAATTTGTACTTTCCTCTGTGGGCAATGAGTAGCCATTGCAGGCTTTTAAGGATGAGATCAGATCTATCCTTTTTAATTTTGGTATTCAAATTTTAGTTCTCTGTTATAAATGTCTACTACCTAAAATGTGACTTGACTAGAGGAGGTGATTGAATTTTCCTTTTCCTGAAATATACAATTTATGATTCTGGTTTAGACGTCTGTGCCACTTGCCATGAACATGCTACCTGTGAGCAGAGAGAAGGGAAGAAGATGTGTATGTGCAAGTATGGATTTGCGGGCAATGGGAGGACGCAGTGTGTCGGTAAGTTTTGAGTCCTGGGTTAAGTTGAAAGGTGAATCAAGAAACAATATTCTCTAGTGTTAAAGAGTTGATGTCCTTGGGGGGAAAACGTTGTTACTTTGTTCACGTGTTTTTATACTTCTATAAAAAGACTTGTATAACAAAGACAACAACTTGTATAACAAAGACAACAGAACTTGTCTTTGTTTTAGCATTTGGATATATCTTTTCTCTAGTGTTTGCGAGGAAGTATCTCTTACGTTAGAGGTCATTGAACTTGAATCTCTGGAAACTCTCTGACCTAACACAAATTTGAATCTGTTTCAAGTCTTGAGTTTAACTTCACAACTCAAATATTGCATTTCTTAATTTCTCTGGTTGCTTTGATATAAAACTATTTATATTAGTACCATGAGGAAAAACAAAACACAATTGCCTATTGGACTTTTTGGCTGATTGGTGAAATACTGTTGCTGTGAGTCTCATGTCTGCCAGTGTCTATCCTCCACATTTTTTGTAGTTGTGACCTTTGGGGTCTTGAGTGACTTAAAGGAATACAAAGACCCCTAGGTTAGAAGCATCTGAGGTTATTTTTTGCCTCCTGGCATCCACCGAACCACGAAAGGCAGACAATATCCAGGTTCCAGCCCAATTCAGAGAGAGGGAGAGTTTCACAGCAACTTCACAAGAGTGAATGTTAGGATAATCGGTAATGTCAGTTTCCTCCCAGCAACCTTGTTACGTGCAGTAGAAATATTGATAGTTTTGCCTTGCATTTGTGGATTGACAGTGTGGACAACCTTGTTGTGATATCTTTGTTTCTTTTCTACCTAAAGAAAAATAACAGTTCAGTCCGGAGTTCAAAAAGTCATGTTCTCCTTCACAGATGCAAGCCTTCACAATCACATACTTTTGCCTGTTCCTGCAGGCTGGAGGTGTACCTTCTTCTTTTTTTTTTTTTTTTT